ATAGAGTTTCTTGACATGTTTTGATGGTTTGACGGAGGAATGAAACACATCCTGTATTTCCGAGAATTGTTAATCAGCTCTTCGTAGTATAGATATTCAAGGGTTTCCGCGCGAGGTGATCGTCAAGAAAGTCGAAGCGAGGGCAAAAAATAGTAATGAAGAATCTTTCTCTCCCTAAATCGTTCGGAAAAATTTGCTTAGCAGGCTAAAGCATTAAGTATAGAAATTTTTTTAATAATTGTGTACATTCAACTAGCCTACGTGAAGCCGCACCCTCCCCTACACGTAGGCACGCAGAACACATTATGAACACACGCCTACAATCCTTGGATAGAGTTTCTTCACATGTTTTGATAGTGTGACGGAAGAATAAATAACATCCTAAATTTCCGTGAATTGTTAATCAGCTCTTTGAAAGAGCTTTCTCTCCCTAAAATTCGTTCGGAAAAATTGCTACGCAGGCGATAAAAGAATGGACTACTGAATTTTTTTGAATATTTGTGAACACCAGAACACTCAGGACGTTACACTCGCGTACAATTCTTGGACAGATATTAACTGGGAAAGAAAGTCCCCGTTGGCCCAAAATAGGAGGCAAGAAAGCCACGCGAAATACGAAACGCGCCATTTCCTCATCTTTTATTTTACAGGATGGAGTACGGACTTATTTTCCATTGAATTTTGTCCAAGATAGTGCTCGTACGCGTTCTGTGCATTTTCAGCAAATACATTAATGAACCTTCGGTCAAGTTTCCTTGATACAGCGCAACAAAATCCTCCAGAAACAAAGGTAGTTGCAAAAATGTTTTACTAATTCTTAAGCTTCTGTGGGTCTTTTGGCCAAGCTTAGACTTACAACCACAGAGGGGTTGAAACACATCTAATCAAATCAGATCTCCTGTAGTCTGTGAACAGGCCTTCAGTCGAGCGGGGAACTGGGGAGAGGGAAAAGCGAAAAGGCCTCTTTCCCTCTTTCCCTTCCCTCTCCTCGCGATTTTTCCCCCAAACAGAGAGCCTGTTCACAGGCTACATCTCTTGCAGTATCTTTAACAAAAAATAATGGTCGCATATTGTCTTTATCTTTCGAAGTGTTTGATTTGAAATGGGCTAGAGCTTACCTGTGTATTTTATTGTGTAGCTAAGTGGGGTTTGTCTATGAAATGGTGTCAAAATTTGATGTCATTTCGTAGGCTGGAAAATACGGTAAAAAAACTGCCACCTTAACCTCTAAATTGGGTAGCTCTAAGTTCCAAACTGGTCCAAACTCAGAAAGAGGAAACTTGAGAAGGAAGAGTAACCCAAATGACTCCTCGATGTCTGATGAAACGCTCAAAAATTTTTGTTTCCGTTGTATGTGTACTAACACATACGTAATACTATACACCAAATTTGGTGATCTCTTTGATAAAAGCTGTTCCAGAAAGGTTCACCGCAGTACTAAAGTTTCTTGTCTTTACTTAACTTGTCATTTTAGTATAGAAAAAGCCACTCACTATTAGATGCTCTTCAGTTTTTTAATTAAAACTTGCGGAAAAAGAGTAACATTGATTGAATGAAAAAAAGAGAAGAAGGCTAATGACAAAGCTCAGCAAGAGTTCGAATCCAGTTTTTTAATACAGCTCGGAATTTGATTCAAGGCGAGCTCAGCCTCCTCCCCAGTCACTTCGTTTTTCCCACGGTTTCCCATAGAGGCGAGCGCGAAACGCGAGTGACTGATGACGACGAGCACTAAGGGACCAGCGGCGAGCTACTTTATCAGGTGACACATGGCCTACAATTAGCGCAGGCGCATTATTTTCGAACAAGCGAGCCGCGCAAAGTGTGTAGCTGCCTGTGTGTGATTGTGAAAGCAAACTAACAGCTCATAAAAACTCTGGAAATATTAAGAGCGGATGTCTCTAAATATCGACCAGAGGTGGGAAAAATAAAATTTTTGAAAAATCTCCAAAAAATTATTTAGACTACCCTAGGTATTCTTGTTATGAAAATATAAATTTTAGTTTCATTGGATAAATATTTTGGCGATACGGCGAATGCCAATTTCGGGCGATTGACGGCCCCCTCCAGACCGCTTTTTCGGCTCCCTTGACCGGGCTACAAAAAGACCACGATTTCAGTCGAATTCAAATATCATTCAACCCGAAAAGTTTCTTAACCTATTAAAAGGGTTTTAAGACACATTTTGAGTGGTCATGTTCTCGAATTGATTGCAACTGGAATATTTTATGAATTTTTAAATATTTACAAAATTTTAAAGATTTTACGCGAGCAAAATATTGTCAAATTTCAAAGGCTTAAAATCACATCCGATACATGATTTTAAACAGAAAAAGACATTCCACATTAAAAAGCAATCTCTAAGCCTTCAAAATATGCTTTCAAAACTCTGGGCAACATATGAAATGAATTTTTGGGAACGCAAAGTTTACGGAGCATTTAAGTGTAATTTGACCTTTCTGACTTGACAGATAGGAGGTTCGGCACGACACAAATCAATCCTCCAACCAATGTTGCGGCCAAAATACGTTTAATGTAAGCAATCTCAAGTCCCACAGTGATACATAGATGTTTTATATACATTAGGTGGAAAGTTTCATGCAATTTTTTCAGCCGTGATTGAAGAACTGTTATCCTGGCCTTCCGGATTTGAACTCGCCTCGCCAATGTAAACATTTGGGTCAATGCAAGTTCTTAGCACGAAACAGCAAAGTTTTCAAAATCTACACCAAATATATATCTATCCTTTCTAGTATATAATCAGGTCTACAATTTGTTTGTTTGTACCTTGTGTCCTTGTTTGACTTCATTTCTGCAATGAAACTGAGACAAACCACAGCAAAATTCCCGCTCGCTCGACATGTCACGTGTTACATGAAAAAGCCGTTTTAGACTCGATTGCGTTACGTAAACATGACACACAGTGATTATTTCTGATTGTGTGAAAAACTATTCCATCCCTAACCTACATGTTATAGGTATGCCACTGAATGAGCAGACAGTCTCATTTTTTTTCTTACCATGCAGTTTTAGCGATCATAGGCTTGTGATCCCCGAGCGTGTCTATCAAACCACGATATGTAAATAACGTGTTCTTTCTTGTTGTTTGTTGATAGATCTGTCAGCTTAGGAAATCATCTAATACGTTTCGCAGTTATTTTGCAACACGCTATTATGGCTTATCATGTACAAAGAGTTTATAATTACAAGTAAAAAAGCACGAGCGAGAAAATCTTGCTACTGTTGTATCTTGCGCTTGCGACACCAATTCTTTGATATTGCACTCTCGGCGTAAGCTAGTACCCTTGTACTTACTTTACGACGATATTTACAGCGTGCGAATATGGAGGACTAGTTTTAGGCGATTTTGGTACAAGTACCAAATACATGTACATGAGCACAGAGCACAAGTGCGCATCGGGAGTGCAACACTGCCGGCAGGCTAAGTACGTTTTATCTCCAAAGTTGATTTATCTGCAGTGGGTTCAAAAGCGTGGGAGGGTTGTTTGTAAGCTAGAGCTATAAATGTATTAGACTCTATAATGCGTTTCTGACTATTATCATTATTATTATTACTATTATTATTATTATTATTATTATTATTATTATTATTATTATCATTATAATGAAATACAGTATTAATATTATTATTATTATTATCATTATTATGAAATACAGTATTAATATTATTATTATTATTATTATCATTATTATGAAATACAGTATTAATATTATTATTATTATTATTATTATCATTATTATGAAATACAGTATTAATTTTATTATTATTATTATCGTTATTATTGTATTTCAACACAAGCAATCAGCGAGGGTGGCAGAGTTAATTTAGTGCGCGGCCTTCGGTGCGCGAGGTCACATCCTTGTTTCAATTTCTCTCCTTTCTGTGTAGCTTTGACTACAATAGATTGAAATGCCCTTAAAACGGAGCATTGATGGAGAGAGAGAGGGGGGGGGGTTAAAATGAGTGGACCGTCGACCTCAAGTTTATCAGTTATTACTGTCACAACCTTTTTTTAGCGATTATAAAGCGGGCGCTGTTTGGCTTAGCCTTAGCCGCGTTGAGTGGGGAGCCGGTGCGGGTGTAATTTTCGGTCCTAGGATTTTTTTTGGTTTGGTTGGGAAACCGACAAGTCTGTGCTGATAAAACTAATGGTAAAAAAAAAATGAGATTGTCTGCACATTCAATAATACCTATAACAAGTAGGTTAGAGATGGAATTTTTTTTCACACAATCAGAAATAATCACTTTGTCATGTTTTACGTAACGCAATCGAGTCTAAAACGGCTCTTTCAAGTGGCACGTGACATGTCGAACGAGCGGGAATTTTTGCTGTGGTTTGTCTCAGTTTCATTGCAGAAATGAAGTCAAACAAGGACACATTAGGTACAAACAAACAAGTTGTAGACCTAATTATATACTAGAAAAGATAGATAATTGGTGCAGATTTTGAAAACTTTGCTGTTTCGTGCTAAGATCTTCAATTGACCCAAATGCAGGGTCGTAACATGGTATATCCGGGGCCCACTGATCCCTATTTTCTTGCGGTTATTTTGATCCCTGAGCCCCATTTTCCCCAAAATTTTGATCCCTGAGCCCTGATAAAAGCATTGATCCCATCCATGTGTTTACACAAAATTTTAACTTAGGCAACTTTGTTTATCTCCAAATATAGAATATAGAACATGCTCAAATGGGCTGATGAGAAAAACATTAACTTTAATTTTTAGTGCAAGTTGTAGATTCTATCAGAGCTTTCTATTCTGCTATCCCTGTTGATGTTGTAGTCTTATGTGAATTTCCTCTTTCACTCGAGCTCTGTGTGTGTTACAGTGAGGATCGCAATCAATTACCAATAGCAAAATACCTGCTTTACATGAAGTAGAAAAATTAAATGATGTAAGCCACAGGTTCTACAGTTGAACAGCTTTTCTGTGTCAAGCCCGTTAATGGCTTTTCCTGGCTTAATAACCATTGTAGATTGTCAGAGGACATATCTGGTGGTAGGTCTTCCAGACCTACTCCTTCCAGCTTCAAATCTAATTGGCTCTGAAAAGTTGTCCGCCTGAGCTTGCTCCCCTTGCTCTTCTTCACCACCTGACGCAGGTGAATCATCTGATTCAACTGACCCCTGGAGCAATGCAACTAGGCGTTGCTCTTCAAGGCAGCTCAAACAGAAGTTGTTTCCATCTTTTGTTATTTGAACTTTCCCGATGATACATTTAGGTGAATTTCTATTGTGACGGTGCCCAGTCTGGTATACAAGGGGATCTTCTTCTGACTGTTCCAGCCATCTCAAACCCATGTGGTCTTCCAGGGATGCATCACCGTTATGGTGGAGATCTTTTAAAAGAACTGCAAGGAAGAAAGGATGATATACCTCTTGCAATTGCGCTTGAGAGCAACTAAGTCGCCTTTTGAATAGATAATCCCATATTCTTTGGATGCGTCTTGAACTGTAGTTTGTCCTTCACTCCGATTCCTTGAACCCCTTTCAGCAGATCGACTTCTCCATATGCCGACGCATTCCTTCTGAACATACTTAGAGCAAGTGGAAGTGTACCAGCTCTTTCTTTGGTCTTCACTCTTGTTCGTTGCTGTCGTACACCCGGTCCGAATTCTTTCACAAAGCTTTGCAATGCCTTCCTTTGAGGCTCCTTTCCCCCCGCGCTCGTTTCCTCGTCCATATCCTCCTTAAGGTTTACTCTTGCCGTGCGAGTTTCGAAACCATTCCGGTGCCTTCGGACCCAGCTTTCTCTGTGTGTAATGGCTTTGAGGACCGGTATAAAAGATAAACGAGGATTGGTGAAGCCTCTCTATTGATTCTAAAAGGCAGCTGGGCCGCCGCGATGCGTATTCGTTCAGAGCGGGTGTTCTCACTCCACCAAAAAATTCAGGCTCCAAATCTAAGGTGGTGATACCTTTTGGAGCCAACCTTTACATAAGCCAAGGCCGGATAGCCCAAAGGGCCGAAAAAATTCTTGTAGATCAATATTGTCACTAAAGTCTGTAAATTTTGTGCAAAACAAAATAGCCACTGCACGAATGAGGTCTAAAAAAATCTTGCATGAAAAAAAAAGCCATCCCCTGCTCAAAAATCAAATAGTGGGCCCCTTACTGGTGGCCCTTCATGCTGAGCGCTATAATATTAAATTCCTGCAGACTCTGCTACTTGTACCTAGTATGCAACATTCCTTTCACCAATTCAACCGTTTATTTTATAAAAAAAAAAAAACTAAAGAAAATAAACTATAAAGGTTTTGTTACTTTTATTTCACCGAGGTAGGTCTTTGGTGTTCCATTTATTTCACTAATTCTACACGGTAATTTCAGACTATTTATCATACAAGCGTTTATCAGTTATACAGTAATGGAATGTGTCCTTTACTTTCCTGGTCCAATACTAGTACTGGTAGGTGAACCGATCTCGGTTTCTCATCAGAGTTCGAGATTACCCTAAAACTCCATGCAATTAGAGCAGATTTATTAAATTGCGAGAAAGCATTTTGTATTTTGCACCAAAGCGCGCGAATTCATTGTACTTTTGTATTCTACTTTTGACGTCCATACTAATTATTTAGGTACTTTTAAGAGTTAAGTTACTGGTCAAAAAATACGAACCTCGATTTATAGTCGCCTTGAGACTTGCTTGAGGCGATGAGGCAATCGGGACCTACACAGTAAATTCCGCTTTTAATGAATCGGTTTGTCTATTGTCCTGGCGGTATTGTTATGTTTGATGGGCCGAAAAACTCTATGCTTGGACCCTTGCTAGGAGTAAATCAGTCAAGGAAGTACTTATACGTACCTTTCTCTGTCAGTCACAGGATTTCTTTTTGTCCTTTTTCTTCTTCCCCATTTCTCGCAAAAAAAAAAAACATATGTATAAATCGCTTTCTCTGCCCTCCGGCGTTGAAAGCGCGTGGAGGAGTTGCGTTACAAAGCGAGAAAAGTGACTTGAGATTCATATTACGGTGCCCTCAACAATTAATAAATTAAGAATATGATACCATGTTTTCGTCAAACAACCAGGACTTCGTATGACAGGAAATGCCGCCAGCCCCCGCGCCAGCCGAAAGCAAGAATAGGTAATGTACCTCGGCCAGGAAATTCTATGGACACAAACCTCATTAAGCGGAAATTACATTGTGATGAGATTTTTAGACCGTGTAATAAATCTGATCTCTGATTCGGGCTCAAAAGCGTCGTGATCCCTGATCCCATTCTTCTGATCCCTGAGCCCTTTCCTCTGAGCCCTGATCCCAGTCATATTTTGGGCTTTGAACCCTAAGCCCATATACCATGTTACGACCCTGCAAATGTTTACATTGGCGAGGCGAGTTCTAATAATGCACCTGAAGGCCAGGATAAGAGTTCTTCATTCACGGCTGAAAAAAACGGTATGAAACTTTCCACCTAATGTATATAAAACATCTATGTATCACTGTGGGACTTGAGATTGCTTAAATTAAACGTATTTTGGC